CTTCCCTCGCCCCTCCTCGCCCGCCCAGGACCCACCGCGGGCTGGGGCGTGGGGGAAGCGCTGAGCACCCTCAGCACCCCTTTAGCTCAGCTTCTTTACTTCTTACCCCCCTCAAAGCCTTTGAAACTGAAAAAACCATGGCGAAATTTAAGAGGAAAGAAGAACAAACGGTGGTCGCTTTCTGGATCCCATGAGGAAAGAAAAAAAAAAAAAAGAGTGGAGATTCAGGACTAGCGGGGCCAGCTCAGAGTCCTCCCTGTTAAAAGGAATCTGCTTGAAACAGATGCTTTTTTTGGAGTCCTTTCCTGCAAGGACTGAAGATTTTAACAGCTACTTCCCCAACAACTGCCAACGTGCAAAGGCTTCTTGCTCCGAGCTGGCTGCTCCTGAAGTCATCTCTCTAAACCAAAACTCAGGTCCCTTCTCAGGCTTAAGGACAAGGGCTCCTGCGAGCGAGCTCTCACCTGTCTGTTGAGGGTGATGGCGCTCGGCTGGCACTTGGTGCAAATGCCTTCTGGCCAAGGAGGGTGCCCTTCGCAGCCCGATTTGATCTTGCAGCTTATGTTTTCCAGGGCAACAAATTTCCCCCTGCGTGAAGGGAAAAAACTGCTGTTACCACAGGAAAAGGGGTTTGGGTCTCAAAAATAACCCCGAAAAGCAAGCAGCTAGAAACATCACCCCTACCAGCGGTGTTTATTGGAAGCAATTACATTGCCTCAGGAAAAAAAAATAATTTAAAAATACCAATTTAATTTTTTCCCCCTGATCTTTCCTTTCTTTTTTTTTAATACATTGTTTTCTCCCCACTTTCTCCCCAGTTTGTCATTCAGTAGTTATATCCAACGATTATAGTTGGATATAACCAGTTTGCCACTCAACAGTTATATCCAACCACACTCTGCCAAGATCCACCCGTCGCTTTCATTTGTATTTAAAAAAAAAAAAAAGCTACAACTAGATTCCCTTAAACCTCGAGGTTTTTCTTACTTGTCTGCCCCTCCAGTCAGCTTCCTGATGTAGGCATGGAAGGACATATGCTTCACAGGAGGTTCCAGATGGTTTAAATAATCCTCATCAAAAGGCTGCCAAAAACCAGCACACAAAGAAAAGCCAGGTCAGACACCTGCCCGATAACAGATTGATCGCTAAACAAATGGATGTTCTAGAGTCAACCCTGCTGGCTCTCAATGTGGGAACAATCAAGAAAATTTAGGCTCATTTTCAAGGCAGCTACTACCGCGACACAAAGAGCGGGGCTTTACGACAGCCAGTTTTATTATCGTCTCTCACTTTTACAACAGATTGGCTCCACAACTTAGAAACGAGCCTCAAAGGCAAAACGGGTTTTTTGTTGTTTTTTTTCCCCTCTCAATATCTAACGGCAAACGAAAAGCCCAGCTGCTCAAACAAGGGCAAAGAACTTCCAGAGCAGGCAAGAGGGGGAACAGCCATCCCAGCTCGCAGCAACGTTTGAGAGATCGCTGCTTCTTCACGCCATAAATGACACAGCCCGGCGCGTTTCTAGGAGTTCCTAGAGCTGCTTTCGACCCGAATAAAACGTGGTTCAACTGGGAAGTGCCGGGATCCGCGAGAGAGGGGATGAAACAAGGAGATCCAGGCAGGAGGGAGAAAAATCAGAACTTTTCTAAAGCACTTTGTTAAACTCGCTCCTGCAGAAAACCGGAGCATTAACCAGAATAAACCCAGACTAAATGAGGGACTGGAGCTTTACTGATCCTGGATGAGCTGGCACAGCAGGATCCTGACCCAGAGCTGCCGTCTCTACGCAGGCAGCGCTCCGAGGGAAAGTGTTCGTACTGCAAGAAGTCGAACCCAAGAGAACACGCTTTTACGTGACTTTCTAAAGCCCCTCCTGGGGGCTCTTACCTCCAGCGGGACGCAGTGCACGCATTTACCCAAGGGGCCGTGGCAACACCTGCGCAAAGAGAAAGAGAAGCAGCGTTAAGTCTTATTTAAAAAGTCAGGTTGTAGGGGTTGCTCTGAACTAACGGTTGTGATGTGGAAGATCTGTTCAATCACGTGGCTCTGAGCAACTGTTCACTCACGAGGGGATGTTACAGAGGGGTCACGACGAGATAATTTCACATTGAGAGAGACAGAGGGACAGCTTCAGGTTCAGTCAGAGAGTCCTGGGTCAGGATGAAACCTTCCCGATGCCCGTGTCGCCGGCTCTGTGCTCTCAGTGGCCGCGGGAACCGGTGGCAGATCGCGGCTTCTCGGGTTTTACGACCCCGCACAGGGGTTTGTGTTTCAATTCAAAGAATTTTAAACCTACGTCACAGGGCTGCCCCGCAAGGTTTTAACAAAAACACCCCAACAAACCACATAACCAAAACATTCACCCTTTATCAGTCGCCAGAGGATGGTCTGGAACAAACAGAGGCGCGTGTGTTTACCAGGGAGATAAAGACCCACTGGGTAAAGTTACAAAGCAGAGGGGAAAACATCTCCTTCTGAGGAGATTGCTTTACAAGAACCCCACAAAACCACCAGAAACAACTTCAAAAAATCCCCCCAGACCTCTGCCCCAGCACTAGATCAGCGCTAGTTTTTGAAGGGAGGCCTCTAGAGAGAAGCAGGGATGCTGGCTCTCCTTAAAGACGAAATGGACGGGCTCCAGTTGCTTTTAAGAAAGCCTCGTGGCAGGTATCTGCCTAAAGGACCCCTAAAGGCTGTTAATGCCCTCAGCCTCACGCCAGCATCCCTCCGTGTTTCTACCGATACAGGCTCACAAACACAGGAACAAGTCCAGACACACTCTTTTTATCATAAATATCCACCACTGGGCTTTGGCTGCCTGCGAAGAACAATACCTTCATTTATTCTTTTGAAAAGCCACGGTCAAGTTAAAGACAATGTTTTTGCCGCAGAGCAGTGGGTTTTGTTTTTATTGTTTCAATAAATGTGACATTTCCCTCATTTACTGTCAGCCTGGCAAGGTTAGATAGGATTTTTCACGCAAAGGCTACTCCATCTCTCCAAACTTCCCCACTGCTGTGGCACTAAAGATAAACCAGATGGAAGACAACCCGATGGGGAAGGGCGAGCTGTCCTGCTTTAGAAAGAATTCCTGGTTGCCTTTAAAATTTTCACTCCATCCCTTTCAGAAGTTACTCTGCAGATGGGCCCAAGCCCAAGGTGACAACCAGCCCAGACATCAGGCCAGGAGCCAACGGGGACGTTGTTAAGCAATAAAAACCCAACCATCCAGACACGGGGACATTTTAGCAGCATCGGTGTAGATTTAGGGCAGTATTAACTCACCGTTGTGTCACTACTTTTTACCAAAACCACAAGCCGTTTCGTTTACCTGAGTCTCTCGCAGCAAAGAGATTCGGCAGAGCCAGACTTTGTTGCGTTTCCACAAGCAAAACTGACTCTCTGGTTTCACAGCAAGGTCAGCATGAAGGAAAAGACGCCAAAAAACTAAGCAGGAGGAGAACCAAAACCTGTTTCCACGTCTCCTACTTCCTCTCCCTCACTTCACTTCCCTAATGAAGGATTTGTACTCTGCTGCCAGGACATCCCCGGGGAAGAATTCAAAGTATTCATTTTCACCTAGAGAGCTCCAAATGTTTTCAGAGCACAAAAACCACCCTCACAAGTCCCAGAGCAGAGGCCACCTTTGTTGGAACAATAGATGCTCTGAACGAGCCCTTCCTGGCAAAGACCCTGGGATTTTGGTATCTGCTTCCTTCCTCAGCTCACCACAGCTCGATTTAACCTTCCCAGACAATGGCAACGGTTGTTTTCCCTTGTGAACATTTCAAAGGCAGCGCAGGATCGAGCTGGGGCTAGGGGGGCAGCTCCCACCACCCGCTTCCTGGCCGCTGGTGTCAAGACGTTACGAGCTCCGGTGAGGTGCGTCGGCAGAATCAAAGTGTGTGTCCCCCCTGCCCCGTACTTACTGCTGCTGGTCTCGATTTCGGTAAATCTTCCCATCCTGTTTGATCAGATACTGGTCGATCTCATCTTCCACCACCTGGGGAGCCCCCGCGGGCTTCACGCTTTGGGAGGCAGCTGCGTGCACGGTCTCCGAGGAGGAGCCAGCCGGGCTCGAGGGGTAGAGAAACAGCATGTCGCCATGCCTGGGGGTGCAGAAAACCAACAGGCGGCCATCAGCAGCTGCTTCTGGGCAGCAAACCTCCCAGGACACGGAGGAATGTGTAACCTATCACAAAGTACACAGAGAGCAGCCGGTGTGGCCGCCCAAAGCTGCTCCCCTGTGCCTCTTGCTGTTGCTTCGCTCACCACGAACAAATCTTTTCATCGGGAGACAAGACCAAGAGAAAAAGACGGAGGAAAAGGTGAAAGGAAAGAAGCAACAGCTCCCGAAGGAAAAGGACTAGTGCGGATCTCTTGAGTCTTGAGGCAGCTGCCGGCACCGACACAATCGAGGGACAAGCTGCACACAGAGTAACAGCTCCTCTGTCTGTAGCCAAACGTTACTCCTGACATGAACAGAACGAAGATTTTTGAGAAGCAAACACGAAGCTATGGCACCACTGGACAGCTCCGATCGCTGCCCTGAGCGACAGCTGGAAGCTGTGAGGTGCCGTTGGCCGGCACGGAGGGAAGATCTCAGGCTCGGAGGAGCAGCAGCCCGTGGTACAAAGCCCCCCGCTTTAATCGCCAGAGCTCTCTCTCAGGACTCACTTGATTTTCAGCAAGTTGAGGGATTTGTTTTGCGACGCTGTGATCTCTCCTGTCCTGTTTCTATTGGTGTAGACAGAAAAGCCGTTATTCCTGAAACCAAATTCTTTTGCAACCTGAAGGAGAGAGAAAAAGGGCAAAGTTTAAGATACTTCCCATCCCCGGTGAGATGCTAAAAACTGCTCAGAGCGAGGGCTAAGTCCAGGGAACTTCTATTGCAAAACTTTAGCTGAATCTATCCGTGCTTCTGAGGAGCACGAGGTAACTGAGAGAAGCAGAAGCGCTCAGTAACACAATTATTAAAAAAGCAACTTAAACAGAACATGTCTCTCACTCACCCCACGCAAATGCAGTATTTTATCTAAATCCAGGCAAGCGCAGTCGTGAGCAGAGGGGAGAAACTATCCTCTCTGTTATCTCAGTTCTCTCGCTCCAGCATGCACCAGCCAAATCATTCTCATCTTCCTACGACTGGAATTCCTCAGTCCAGACCTTCACCTCTGAGGATCTTTCACCTACCAGTTGCTACATGAGTTTCACTCACACTTTTCCTGCCGTTCTCCTTTCTAGTCTTCTCCATTTGCCTCTTTTCTGATGAGACTGACCCTCATAACGACCACCTCTGTCCCCAGGCAGTCTTTTTTCCCCCTTCATCCTCTCGCCAGTTCACTTGAAGCTGCTTTACTCAAACGCCTCTTCGCAGCAATCACAATTTTCAAATTTGGTCACTTAAAAACATCCCTGCGTTTAAGAGGGGTGTTAAAAGTTCCTCTAGGTGACAAGTTTCTTCCTAAATTCTTAAGTTAACAGCCCGTATTTTTATGAAGTACACCTCCCTGGGGCTTTGGGAGGGCTCAGAGACAGTGACACACACAGGACAAACCTGACAGGCCACAAGCAGAAGCGCCACGTGAGCGAGGCCACGGCGAGCAGCCTCTCTGCCGTCAGCTCCGCGGCAGCACGGCCTCTGCCCCTCGAAGGGCAGCGACTTCCCAACGGCTCGTCTCCCTCCTCACACCTGCCAGCCTTAAACATCAGCTCCTCAGGCCACAGACTTCTCCAATTTTTAATTTATTTTTTTTTGAGGAGACAAATTCTACACTACATTCACCAAAAGCCTCAGGTTAGAACTAACTCAATTCTAACCTGAGCGCACCTGAGAGTTTATTGGTTTAGTATTCTCAGCTAGGATGTGCCACAAAAGACAGAGACGATTGTTAAGGCCCTTATCGCTGAGATGTGATTTTTTGCACACTTCTGCAGCTTCTCTGCAGCAAAGGAGGAGATCTTAAGTTAACTGCAAGAACAGAAGCAGCAATCTGATGTCTCTTTAACTACAGCCACCTAGCTAAAGGTGAAATCCACCACAGGGATTAACATTCCGGTGATGAAAAGGAAAGCTACAAACACGCAGGGATCTTAGGTGGTAAAAATTTGCAACTTTTGTCTTTCAAGTAAACCCTGTTTCGGGAAAGAAACTCAAACATTTCTCGCATTCAGCTCAGCGAGAGGAGATAGCTTTCCCCAGATCTTTCCCCAGACCAAGAGGCGGTTTTAGTGAGCGACGATGTTTTTGTTCTGCCAGTAAGTGGTTGCAAGCCCAATTGTTCCGCGCTGCCTCGGGTAACATGAAGCCTTGAAACCAAGCACCTTGCTTTGCACGGGTTCTAAAGATTCTCAAAGCACGGTTTTTTCCCTGAGTGAGACTGCTTGGAGGCTGCAGCGAGTGTCTTTGACCCAACCCTGAAATCCATCAGGATTTTCGCTTGCTCAGGCAGGGATCACTGCCGTGCTTCGAACAAAGCAAATGACTCACAAGCCACAGCAGGTTTCGGTCTGCTTCCCTTCACCCTCGCAGGGGGAAAGGAAATCCATCTGATGGAACGAACGGCCCTTCAGGCACAGGAACACAAAGCACTTCTCTTACAAAGCAAAGAAATCCTAAGCTGGGGGTTCCAGGTCACAGCAGAGTTCCAGGAGGGAAGGAATAGGAGAACGGCTCGATCTTAAAAAACAAACTTTAAATACTGAGCAGCTGCATCAGACTGAAGAACAAGCTGCAGCCAACTCCAAATCTGACAGCTCCAACGCTCCACATGTTCTCCTCGGCCCAGGGTGGAAACCTCTCCCAGGAGACCCTGGAGGCTCTTAAGACCTCACCTTAATCCCTTCCTCACTCTCTCCAAAACCATACTGGAAAAGCAGTGTCACGCAAAGCCCATGCAAACGATATTCAAAGCGTAAATCAAGCAGCTCAGCTTCAACCAGATCCCGCCCGAAGCCTCTCGTGCTGCTGTCGGCCTCTGCTGCCCCGGCTGCCATTCCTCTGGGAGAACACTAAAAACGCGTCCTTCCCACCCCAGGGAACTCCCGCTGAAAAGCTGAGTAACTTTTCTGCGTTAATTTTCTTCGTTAATTCTCAGGGTACCTTCTTGAGAAACGTCGCCACCGTTTCTCGCTTCGTGGCCGTGATGCGCTTCACTCCTTCCGGCGACTGCACGCGGATTATCTGCGGGGTGAAGAGGACAGCCCGTCAGCGATGGGGGGGTACGGAGCCTGCTGAAGCCAGACCCTCTCCACCTCCCTCCTGCCTTTCGCTGCGTGCGAACGCAGAAACAAGTTGTTCACCCTCGGTACGGCCCCTCTGGGTTGATGCTTGCGCCTTACCCTGGCGTGCAAGGAACAGCAAGAGGCTGGCACGGAGAAAAAGCATTAATGCAGCTTTTTTTGGTCAGAGCTCTGACCTCCAACGTGGAATTAAAACACTCAGGAGGCTGAATCAGAGCTTCCACAGGAGTGATTTATTCAGTCCCTGTGTGCAAGCACTGGCCTAACTGGTGCTAATGGGCACCTGCGCTTGTCGTCACGTTTCAACACACGTTACGGACGTGCAGCTTCCAGCACTGAAGAAAAGGAGAAAAGCCACAAAGCTCAGGCTGCTGCTGCGAAACACTTTGGCTGGGAACTGCCGGGAAAACTCGGCAGGTTTTTGGAGGGGGGAAAAGCCCAGGGACAATCTTTCATGTACTCGCGCGGAAGCGGCGAATGTAAACATCCGCGTCTCCGAGCTCCCGGCGACCGGAGAA